AGTGTCCCTAAATTTTTTTTTTTTTTTTTTTTTTTCTTTTTCAATCCTATTCGAGAAATCCTAAGCACATATGGCAGAGATACAGTGCTTTCCTCCATACAAAAAGTTAGATCATATGTGATTGCATACCATTTCGAGAAGAGCGTTGGCACGATCTCTCAAATTTGGAGCGCGGGGTAAAAATGTTTCATGGTGTTGAAGTTCCACGGGAGCAATTTTCTTTATAAGACCAAGCCTTTCATCTAATCGTATCTTTTCCCAATTTCCAAATCCATGGTAGTATATTCCAAGAAGCAATCTTGCATCATCAACTATCAAGAAGGAAAATATCAGCAAAAAGGAACCAAAATCACGTGCTTTGTCTTCCAGTGGAGGAGAGATGAAAAATAACATAAGCAAAGAAGTAATACATACACTGATTCCAGCCACAACCTTTCGACCAATTTGAAGGTTTGAGGTATGTCAACACACGGAACTGTTCAATGGGATCCTCATATCGACTAATGCGTTTTGCCAGGTGCTGAAGTTCATGAACACGGTTGAGCATATCAACAGCCTTGACAGGGACACCAAAAAAATCCAGCAAGGGCCCCTAAGAGTACCACAAGTTTCTAACGTTCAGCAGCCAACAAGTTGTCACTCACAACGAAATAAATTTACATAAGAAACAGCATTCAAGAAACAACATGGATGAATAGACATATTCTAAGACAACCTTCTGGTCCAAACTCCCCACTTCCACTGCTTCTTTGCAGCCATCAATCAATGCATTGAAAAGCTCAACCTGTGATTCAAGTGAAGCTCCTGCAACTGCACCTCCGACCTCCTCAACTATTAAGGCAATTTGGCTCTCATTCCCAAATTTCATAACCTAATTGCAAATGAACAGTGTTAGACAATGAAGCATAAAATTTCCTAAGAAAACAAACATTCAGAACAAGCTGGTGCCAGAAGCTTTTCAAAAATTGGGATGTCTTAACTTTGACCAAACATCTTGCAAATAATTAATTTAGAACTTCCAATATTTAGGGAAAATCCAGAGAATAAACCATAAGAAACACCATCTATTAGACCTAGTCTACAATGTAAACCCAAAACAGAAAACTTCAGCCAGTTTCTGCGTCTGCGCCCATGACCTTGCATCTAATCTCTTCAAATATTGAGAATATCAGCTAAAACTATGTCCAGGTTGGGTCAGTTAGGTTTTAGGAATATATAAAAAAAAAAGTAAAAACAAAATAAACGAATAAAGACGAGAAAGGAACAATTAATACAAGAGAAGCAAAGACGCCATGCCTAATCTGTAAACTGAACAGATCTGTATTAGCAAAACAGGGGGAGAAAAGCTTTACACATATGAGTCCTATGACTAATGAAAGCTGTGTTGCATCAGAAATGCTATTCTAGGAAGAAAAAGCTTTCATGCGGACTTTCAGGGGGAGAGAAATTGATGGGAATCCAATTTGAATGGCTCAAATCTTTTGTTTTATCATGTGTTTTTAAAAAAGTAATGGGTGCCTTTTCCATAATATAAATATTTGGGTGCTACACATGTAGAAATATTATGAGCTTTCTTGAAACAAGCTAAATCAAAACTGATAAGGTATGCTCACAATATGAGGTAACGGGTGGTTTTTTAAGGAGAGAAATACAAGCATTTTAGGAGATTATAGCAAGGTGATGACTAAATCAAGCTATGCAGAAATCTGAAACAAATAAGAACTTACCGCACGGGAAAACCGCAATGCATCTCTCTTAGATAAATTCCCAGATGACCATCCCCTTGCTTGAGCAGATGCTCCGTCAATCATTGGTGCTGAGCTAACTAAATAATCTGCTTTGCGCCTTTTCTGGACTCTTTCCTGAGGCTCAGATTCTTTCTTTTTCCTTTTATTACTTCTATCAGGCTGCGCAACTTCTGCATAGCTCTTGGTATTCCTTTTAGTACGAGGGGCAAGAGCTTCCTAAAAGGAAATGTCAATTTAATCCTTTTATCTAACTAAAGGAAATGCAACACAAGAATATAGAGACAATAATAATAAGTATGAGAAAGAGTCCTTCACTACTATACTAAGATAGTATTTAACAGAAAAGATTCATACTTCGGCTTGGGATACTGCTTCCGGCTTTATCCAACGGCTCCAAAAACTACCATCATCTTCAGCGGTACCAAAATTTGCAACCTGGACATATATGCACCAAAGAGTACGTGTATTAAAAAAACACAAATGAATATAATTTAAACATGAAAGCAGTAGCAACTGTACAGCAGCCATCCATCACCATCCTTATACCAACTGGAGCAAAAACACAGCACTGTTGATTTTAGGGCATAAGTGGCACTTGTGTAAAAACAAAACAAAAAATAAAAAATCTACGGAAGGGGCCAAGACAACCAATGTACAGCCCTAACAAACAACGGCAAAAACTTGCCTTAAAAGCACTCAACAATTCATTCCCGTCCTCTTCAGCTTCCTTCTCTTCAACTTTTTCCGCTCTTTCAAGAATCTCATCAATATCCATACTTAAGAGTCCTTTCTTGCTTTCTTCATCATTTTTCTCTTCCTTAAAAAGTTCTTCAGCTCCAAATCTTAAAATAGCAGACAGCTCATTCTGCAAATACCATATGGATTCATTATGGTAAGTGAAAGTGAAAAAGAAATATTCTGAAGTGGCAATTATGCAATGCTATATTAGAGTCCCATCTTGTGTGTGTGTGTGTGTGAGAGAGAGAGAGAGAGAGAGAGAGAGAGAGGTGGAAACCCAAAAATATGCTTAGAAATCTTTCCTTCTCCCATTTTTCCCCCACTCAAAAGCCCCCACTAGAATTTAGCATGATAAAACAATCAATTCAACACATGCCCTTACTTTGTCGAATAAAGTTCCTTTTTTTGCTTCTTTCTTCTCCAACCTACCCTCTGCATTTAATTTTTGAATCACCAAATGGTCAAGCACCTATAAAAAAAACACATTGAAACAAAGAAAACATATTAAATTAAAAAATAGGCCTCAAGTGAAAAATTGAGTATATATATATGCATGTATATGCAGATCCTGATGTGTCACAAACTGGACAATTGAAAAATTAAAAAACAATCTCAAGATTATGCTATGTAATCTACCATCTTTTTCTTAGCTCTTTCCAGGATATCTTCCTCAACACTTTTGCTCGTGACAAATCTATAGATGTTAACAACTTCCTGTTGCCCAATTCTGTGAGCTCTACTCATTGCCTGATTCATAATCAAAGAGCGATGTTAATTTTGTACAAAGGAGGCCAAAAGGAAAGGGGGAGGTTTGAACTCTGGTATTGGGCATGAGGATTATTAAATAAAATGTAACAGTAAAAATAACCAAGATATTGTCTTTAAACCTGCAAGTCGTTTTGAGGATTCCAATCTGAATCGAATATTATAACTGTATCCGCTGTGGCAAGGTTGATACCAAGGCCACCTGCTCGAGTTGAAAGCAGGAAGCAAAAATCTTCACTGCCAGGTGCATTAAAATGTTCCATTGCCTGGTGGCGTAAATCGGCCTTCGTACTTCCGTCAAGGCGTTGAAATTGAAACCCTCTAATTGACATATACTCCGCCAGTATGTCCAACATTCTTACCATCTGCAATAAATCATCCCAATTACTTAGTACATGGTATATCAGTATAAAAAAATTCAAGCTAATAAAGCAGGATTTGCAATTCTAGTCCCTAACTAGCAATATATAATTAATACACCCTCGTACGACACAAGACTCAGTACAGGGAGGAAAAAGCCAATAACCCCATGATTGAGCTGCCACATAAAAAACTAGGCATTAGGGCAACTGCCTCAGTGATTGTGTAGTCTCTAACAATTAGCACATGCAACAATACTTCAGCGATTCTGCGTGATTGGCTGCTACAGAAACAAAATACACTTAATTTTTGGACAGGCTTGGGAGTAAGATGAATCAAAGATTAATACAGTAGTGTAACCCAAAACAGAAAAAAATTCAAGACACAAGGAAATGGCTATATGAACATGTCCTGATCATATTTCAGTGGTTTCCTGTATATATATAGTGAAAATAAGCCTGTGAACGAAATGATGTATGAAACTGTGAACAATTTTACCCCGAGTTTTGCAATCTTTTTCTTTTATAAATAAAAAGAGGCAATGGTAGAACAAATACAAGTATCATTTAAAGGAGGCCACCAGTGTCATGTCCTCAAACAGCCAACAGACCGCTACTTTAACAGATGATTGTCCTACAAACGATAGATCTAAACAGATATGGATTCTACGATTTAATTAAATGGGCTAAGCCATGTATCAAAATGAATCAACAAGGTGGAAGTCCATGCTAACAATATATCAAACTTAATAGTCCATAAGCGACTTTCCAAGGAGCACAATCAACATGACTGCATCACAAACAAACCTGGGAAAAAATCAGAACACGGTGCTTTGTTTGATGCAATCTCATAAGAAGCTTATCGAGTATAACCAGCTTCCCACTGCTTAAAATAATCCTCTCCAGTTTACTGCCATCTTTGGTACTCGAGTCCCCTCCATAACCATGGTCAGCACTTTCAAACAGGAAGGGATGATTACAACATTTCTTCAACTCTACCACAATATTCAACAATGAAACCTGAAAAGGCAAAAATAATATTAAAAAACAGAATGAAAATGTTATTACTTTCAATAATGATTAGACATAAAAAAGGATAGTGAAGGAAGAACAGGCATTCTTCAACTGATTTCATTCCCAGTAGAATCAACACATCCACACCTTCTCTTCTTTCCCACTAGTCAACATTAGGGCCTGTTTGGTGTTCTTTTATTTTTTTTTAATACCCAGAAATCCATCAATCGGCATTGCAGACACAGCTTTGAAACTGGAGCCCCCAGCTGAGCCATACAATCTTTGGGAGGCAGGAAACAGCAAATAGCTAGGTAGGTACCTTTGGGGGTTTCAAACCTCAGAACACATGGCAACAAACCATGGGCCTGACAATTCCAACTAACCACTTGCTGGTGCCTGTTTAGTATTCTATTTGAGTCCAAAAAATCTGTTTGGTCGAACCAGTTTTGAAAACCTAAACTCAAAAATACCCAAATACTTGAAAACAGAACAAATCTGTTATTTAAGAATTTGTTTCAATTAAGTGGGAAAAAAAATTCAACCAATTTACAGTTTTCAAGTTGCATATCAAACAAGTTTTTGAATCTTAAAAATGGATTTTAGAACTCCTTGTTTTTAAGAAAAATCAAGGTTTTAGAGTTCCCTACTTGAATAGGATACCAAACGTTCCCTTAACTATTACATGGAAATCAGTATTGAGGGTATTGTCGACTTTATCAAACAATTGTACATAGTGATAATTTGAAGACATCAGTCTTAACCAGACACTGTCATTTCTTACACTTACACCAGGTTTTCCCTCAAGGAAATACAACCCGACAAAGTAAGGAGTATAATCTATCTGTAAAAGGTACTGTACAAATTTTTATCAACATCAAGTGTTATCAAAGACAGTCCATCAATTACTTAGTTTGTAAGTCAGAGTTGAAGGCTGACACTCAAATGTTGTGTGTCCAGAAACACGTGCAAAAGAAATTGAAGCAATTAAATTTTGAAAATATCTTATCATTGGAGTGGAGTCGAGCACAAGTTTTCTCCAAGTGGACAGATTGAAGCAAAAGATTTACGATGTTAGTGAAAAGTCAGTCTATCCAGTTCCTTATATTTAATAGTTAAGAGTCTGGGAAATTGGGAATACTAACAAGTTACATAAAAATGTGTATTTTGTGAGAACATTGGGCAGTATAAATGAAAAAAAAATTGTGCCAGAGAATTACCAAATAATGTTTACTTAGTATATCAGGCCTTTCCTAATTTCCCTTTGACCCCAAGGGTGTTTCAAATATAAACGGCCCCTAATTATGCGCAATCTGCTGGCTGCAGTATCTTAAGGGATTGTCTTATGTTTGGCTGTTTTATTTTCTGTGTGAAGTGGCCTTGTGTTTGTTTCACCGGCTAGTGTTTCTTTCTTTTTGTCTGTGTTCTAAATGTCCTCGTTTTTTATCCTTCAAATTTTGAATAAAAAAATTTCTGTTCAAAAAATAATAATATATATATAAACAGCCCCTAATTACTATGAGACACTATTTTCAATTTTCACCAGAGACACAACAGTTCTTTCTTCTCATTAAAATATTACAGTTTTTTTTTTTAAGATTGGGATAAAACACAAACACAGAAAGAAATAACTCCGACGTGTTGATCCAGTCAAAATTTGTGTTTTCAGTTCAAAAAATGGTTTTCAGACTGAGACTAATTGCAAACCTTACAGTAGCAAATAATTATACAAAAGGCAGAGGACAGGAGAAATAACCTGATTTCCACGAACTCCTTTGTTCAAATTATGGAAGTTGCGTTCCAAAATCCACTTATAGTACCTAAAGTAAATTATCCAGAACCAAAGAGCAAATGTCAAATCACTGAAAGGATCTAAACTAAGGGCCATTTCATTACAAGTTGAACCACGTACTGTTTCTGAAGGGGAGACATTTCAACCCTAAGAATTCGTTCAATTTTTGGAGGCAAAGACTTCTCCACATCCTTAATAACTCTTCGGAGAATGTGAGGCCTCAATTCCATATGAAGATTAGCAAGCTACACATAAATGCAAAGCAAACATTAATTTCAAGGTTTAGATGTAAAAATAATTAAAAACAAAGGAAATTCGCTCGACTGTACCTCAATCTCATTGAATGAACTGAGATTCTTGTAGCTCTGAACAAAATCATCTTTATTCTTGAACTTATCAGAGTCAAGGAAGTGCAGCAGAGCCCTGGATAAAATTTGAACATTGAAAAACCAAAAAAGAAAAGAAACAGAGAAATCAAAAAACATATAAGAAAACTTATGTGTGATCTAGTGTATGAGTGCCAGTCAATCAAATCTTACAGAGAAGAAGAACCTATATAATTGAAAACTTATGTGTGATCTAGTGTATCAGTGCCAGTGTTTAATTGAACCCAAACAATTACTCACTAGTTGAACATCTCTAGTTTTAATTTTTTTGGTAAAACTTAAGCTTCCCGGAAAAACAGAATTGAAATAATGATTTACAGTAATGCTAGACCAAATTTGAGTCCCAAAGATGTGGCGCATCCCATATCATCACGATAACTTAATACAATTGCCAGCATTTATTTTTCTATAAAGAAAATTTTTTTAAAAAACATGTAAGTTGATTAATCCAAAGTCTCAAACCTAATAACCACCGTGTTCCACCACAACCAGTCCCGCTTCCGCTGCACCTTTACTAGCAACTCAGCCTACACCAATTCAACCTTCACAGATTCTTTCAAGCAGCAAAAGATTTGCAAACAAAAATTTCTCCCAGCCATTCACTTCCCATTTGATTTTGGTAAACGATAAAATCTTCTAAATCTTCTCTTTATACAAAATTTGATAAATAGAAACATATTCCTAGTGCATTATTTATAGTTTTACATATAAAAAAAAAAAAAAAAGAACAATTCTGACTCACCACCAAATCACAAATTTTTTCAAACTTGTCAGATCTAAAAGCTTTTCTGTTCTTCTTGTAAGGTATACTCCATTAGAACTGATAGGCCAGAAATCTGCCATACACAACTTTTTTTAGAGGAGAAATCTGCCATACACAATTCAGCCTCTTGGATTGTCTGGGATGATGGGAAGCTGTAGGTGGTTGGGGTGGGGAGATCTCGTTGTTGAGGGGATATGGTGGTGATCAGTTTTGGGATTTCATTTGGTTAATTAAACTTAACATTTATGCTTTATTTTTTTTTTACAAAAATTAATTGCTGGTATTTGATACATGTTGGCAATTAATTGATGAAGTGTCATATGCCACATCAGTTGGGACTCAAATGTGGTGCACAAATTTGGTGTCTCTAACATTATTGCTAATTTTATAAAGGAAACATTATCTACATCCCTCTATCCTCTCCCTTCCCCTCCATTTCCTCCTCATCCAAAACCTCCACCCCACCAGTCTCGAAGTTCTCTCCCAAAATCCCGGAAACCGTCTTCTCCCAACCCCTTCTCTATTTCCATTTTCCTCTCTTCCTTCGGCACTAAACCCAAGGAATGGTCACATATGGGGCCATAGAGAGAGAGAGAGAGAGAGAGAGAGAGAAGTAGGGGGTGCCCCTCCTCCTTCAGTGTTTTTAACTTTTTTTAGTTATTATCTTAAATAAGTTTTTTTTTTTAATAAAAAAAAAATTAATCATAAATAAGTTTTTTAGTTATTATCTTAAGTAAGTTTCTTGGAAAAAATAAGTGCAATGGGTAGAATATGCACGGCAAGAGGAAAGCGCTAACACACAGAGATGAATGCAATCCCCACCACCCACCCCTCCACAACACACAAACATGCGCTCAAAGGTGTACAGAATCACCTTTGGATCCAACCATTAAGCAAAAACACGCACACACACACATACAAAGAAATGCACTTTATTGGAAAATATAAAACATGCAGAATAACGAACATTCATGGTTAGATAAGCCACACTATATTCAGATACCCTAGCAAACCTTTGCCATAAGGACATATCGATACATGATCAAAAATAACAATTATAAACAAATATGGCACTACTTTTGCATGCACATGCAGTAATATCATGACAAGAAACAAACCATTACCATAACTCTTCCACACTGTTCTGCAATGGAGTACCAGTTATAAGCAACTTGTTCTTGGTGCTAAATTCCTGCCAAACCAGGATGGCATCATTTAGCGTAACACAAGATTAAACTTGATAGATCCATACACAAGGTGTGATAGAATTGATTGGCATAATTACATACCAAGAGGGTTGTGTACAACTGTGCCTCACTGTTCTTTAACCTATGAGCTTCATCAACCATTAGATAATTCCACCTTATCTTGGAAAGAACAGCCTTATCCTTTAAAACCACCTCATATGTAGTCAATAGTGCATTGAATTTTATAGGCCGGCCAACTATTTTACTGTTGTTAAATTCATACTGCTGACAAACCTACAATCAAAAGAAATTGACAAACAAATAAAATAGTTTATAAAGAACAAAACTGCATGGACACCCTGTATAGTACATCAAAACTACTTTATAAAGTAAAATGAAGATAAGGACAGTATCAAGTCAATACAGGGAAAAAAAGAGCCCGCAGAGTGACTTTTCAATGATCAAACTGCAAGGACAATGAAGATCCCAGAAGACAAGCATTAACCACAAGAAAATACAAAGCTGCAATCCCTTTCCCCATTGTGATCACCCTGGAATACAAAAATTCAATAAATTTATACAAAATGCCTTTAAAAGCAAGCTTTCTTTAGACATTAAACATGTTATACGAAACAAGGCACTGACCAAGCCATTTCCTAATCTACCAGTAAGTGAACACTCAAACTAAAAATGTCTGGGTTCAGAATGATGCACATATATCAAGATGTGCCTGACATCTGGTCTTTTTCAAGCAACCAGGCTAATGTGTCCATACGAGAAATTATCATTCTTCGTCCATGTCCACATTAGTGTCTTAGGGTTTCACCAAACACAGGTTGCCTTAAATACCATTGAAGTATATAATTTAATTAATTCACACCAAAATATACAGAATGATAATGTACATAAATTTAAATTACCAAAAAGAGAAGATTACAACTTAAGGAGAAAGTCCTGAAAGATTCTTCCTGGACACGGCCCTCACTCAAGGGAGAAATTCCATTTTGTGCTTGCTCTCTTATGTCAAGTGCATCAAAACCGGGTAGGTTGTCCCAGTGGAGAGAACATTGAAAAGAAAAGAGTGACAAAGGGGTTGAGCGAAAGAGAGGGTGGGGAAAATGGTCATGGGTGCATAGTTGTAAATTTTAATTAATATTCCCTGCCTAGCGAAAAAATTGGCGAGCAAACTGAAGCCCAACAAAAAGAAAACACTCCAGAAAGATCTCATGTAATGCAGACGCCTCAGAATTTATACATGATAATATAGACTGAAAACCCCAATAGTAAAAGTGTACCACACCATTCTTAGACATTAACGTATAAAGCATGATAGATTATATGGTTTTTTCACAGGGAAATTATCACAGAAATAGATTGATACATAACTAATACAGATAAATGACAAAGTAGTCTTCCATCTGAAAGAGATTGAACACAACTTGAACAGAAAACAGTAAAACAAGGCTACGAGTTTGAGCTTGTACACCCAAAACAACCACCTACTCAACAAGCAAAACAAAAATACAGCCAAACAGAACCCAGCATGCTAAGAGATAGATGCCTCTCAAACCAAGTTTAAAAGGAATAACAAACAGTCACTGTGTTCAGAGAACTCTGACGCACCTCCACAACACTTAAGACTTTAATCCACCTCGGAAGGCACAAAATTAACCTCTTGACAAATAAAAGGCACAAGAGGATGGAATGGAACAACCCAACTCAGTCGAGAAACCTGACAAAGCTTACACCACTGGGAAATGAAGGAAAAGGTTGATCAATATTCTCGGCTACCCACTTTCAGATAATGCACTAGTCTGCGGAAAGGCAAACACAAGGCCTGTTCCATTGACCTCACATGTATTCACCCTACTGGGAGCAAACAATCCAAGCAAAAACTTGTACCCTAGGATTACGAGGTATTTGGCCTATCATTTCATCAATATGATGGATTGAAACTGAAGAGTTCTCAAACAAAAACAAAGAAACCAAAGAAGAAAGAAAAAAGGAGAGGAGAGCTGCTCAAAATCAAGATCTCACAAGTCTCTACGGAAATTTTACTTCTACACTGAAGACAAAGAAGAGGTGAACCAATATACTTGTTATGGAACTATCGTGATACTGACTGCAAGAAATAAAATTTCAAATATAATAATATACGATGACTATACCTGGCTTGGTTTAGGAAGCATCTTTACTTATGAATGAACAGTGAATGCAAGTAAAACCATATATCCAACTATTCATATATGAACCTCGTAGACCTGTGCAAGAAAGCTTGGCTTACCTCTCTGCTTGCACGGGTACCAACATACACAATAACATTCATATCAGGGAGCCATTTCCTAAATTCTTTGGCCCAGTTTGACAACGTGGATAATGGTACAACAACAAGAAATGGCCCGTGGATCTGTTGAGCATTCTGCAATAATTAAAGAGGAAAAGGTTAGTGTCTCAAGTATATTACAATCTCATGTTTGTTTGGAGTTACATTCAATAATATAACAATCTACAAGCCAGTCAGCAAAGAATTTATCTCATCTTCACCTGTAAAAAACCAAGCATTGAAACTGATTGAACAGTTTTACCAAGACCCATTTCATCAGCTAAAATGACATTGGTATCATTTCTCCAACTGCCACATGCAAGAACCAGCGATTAGGACATTTTCAAAGGAGGGCATATTAAGGTATCTATTTTCCAACAATAAAGGTGAGTAGAAGTAATAGTCAAGCCATGCCTATTAACAAGAAAATTCAAACCCTCAAGCTGATAATCACGTAGCTTTCCTCCCTTCAACCATTCGGGCTGTTCGTCAAGCTTCCTTAGACTTCCTAAATATTATTTACCCAAAAAAAAAAAATTTGTATTATCAATAAACACTGTACATCATGAACAGCAAATAAAACAAGATGAGTCAAAGAAAGTAAAAGAGACGAAAATTGGAAGAGCAGAAACTCCATTATGTATTTTTGCACTAATTATACCTTAATACTCCTACCAAATCTATGTATTCAAAATAAATACATAAAATTTTAAAAAACAAACAAACAATTATTTAATAGCTTTTAATTTTCATTAGTGCTAACACGAAAAAGGAAAATGACAGGGTGTTGGCTGGTGGGTCGGTTACCTTCCCCTTCCACCTTTCCCTATCTACCTTTGCCACACATCTCATGCCCTGTGCATTCCACTAACTCCTAAAAACAAACTTTAATGTCTTGAAACTCATTACAACTATGACATTCTCTTCCTACATTTTCCGATAGAATGCTCGTGAGAGTAAGAGAGGAAAGGCAATTTTTGGGATGATTTTTCAGGAAAAAATAAGTTTCCTAGCTGGATTTAGGTAAACTCTCTTAATTTTGGGTTTTCAGGAAAGGATACCATCTGATGAATTTGCAGCAGAGAAGCGTCTGAAGTTTATGCATCATCCCAAAACCAGAGACAAAAAATTATTTAAGATGTAGGCGTCTGATATAACAAGAAGGCACCTCTCGGATTTTGGGTTGGTTTTGTTAGATTTATTTCAATTCTTAATCTTTAGCTGATACCTATGATTCTCTGACACACTGCTTCGTTTCATCCTATAAGTGGCTGCTTCTTCTTTTCCATGATCCAGCCCATAAATAATAAAAATCAAGTCCTCTCCTTGGCAGCTCCAGAGTTTTCTTGTTAAGTTTTGCATTATAAGTTAAGAGGGTAAATCTGGGAAGAATGAGTGTTTTAACTGAAGTTTTGTTTTTAAGACTTCGTGAAATTCACATGGCATGAACACTAAATGGAAGTTCAAAGTCTAGGAATACTAACAATATCGGTACTTCTATCAGGGAACAGAATTGAGAGAAGAGGATATGATGAGTGCACTTGATCTAACCATCAGCAAAGTTTGGTTTTCTCTGGATTAGATAAACTCTTTCTTCACGTACATAGGAGTGTACAAAAGTGCACACAAAGAACCATACTTAATTCTATTGGAAACATTGACTTTGCTTTTAAAAAGTTAGGAAGGTACAATGAGAACAACCAACACTGGACAAGAAGTCCACTATCACAATAGAACGAAGAGAAACACTCTCTTAACAGCATATAATACCTTAGCTTTAGTTGACAAAAAGGTGGAGGATTTCAGGGTAAGAAAACGAATTGTGATTTTTTTCTTAGAGAATAATGAATTGTGAATTTTTTTTAGAGAATAACGAATTGTGAATTGATATTGACTTTCATAAGCAAGAAAAAGGCAAACCAGAAAACGATAAGCAAATTCCAGACCCCAAATCACCAACCTTTGGTTTTCTTGCGCTGGAGATCCACCATTTTCCCTTGTACAGCCATTGCAGCTTCACGAGCCTGCTCATAATGAAGGACCACAAGCCGGATTACACTCGGAACAAAACTCTAATCATGTGTAAGTGTTTGTTGATCATAAACAATTCACCCCGAGAAAAATTGACATATCATCATATTTAAGGAAAACAAGAATAAAGAAGAGAACACCAAAAAGCCCCAAGCACTCTTTAGGAGGAAAAAAACACCCAATGAAGTGGCCAAAAGGAAGAGCCTTTTTTAATAGTATTTTCCTAATTCCTCAAGCACCTATCTTGTCATCAGCCATAAAAATAAATTACCAACTCTTTTTTTCCCAGAAAACCAACGAAGCTTGCATATGAAAAAATTGGATCTCTCATGTAAGATTTCCCATATGCCTCAACCAAAGAAAGCTTACTTGGTGTTTAACCTTCATATACCACAACACATGTTACTCCAAATTCCCCACTACTGTATGGCTTCACCATAAGCCCTTTTATTAGTTTCTTTAATAAGTATTTTGGCATATTGTTTATGACCTATACAGTTTTTATCCTTTCCTGTTAACAGGACCCTAGCATAAATTTAACAAGCTCAAATGCCAATCGATGAAACATTTGCAATCACTAGAGATTTTAAGGTAAAACATTATAACTCATTCCACAACATCCCTAGTTATGGCAGCAGAGATTCTTTTTTCCCCCTTCCATAATACTTAAATATTTTAGGAATCCTTTGCATCTTACATAGAGTAATTCTAGAAAGCCACCATATCCATGTACAGTAATCCCAACTTTCCATTAATATTTTTAACAGTTATTTGTATAATGCTTTCATATCATTCATCATAATTATCAATAAATCACAATGGGTAATCATTCCAAACATTCAATGCCAAGCATGCATGCTCACATCATCATATTGGGTTACCATTCATAACCAAACATTCAATGTTAAGCATACATTCTCACACTTAATGTGCAATGCATACTGCTATCTATCGCAAACATGTAAACCATGATTCAGAAGTAAATCGATGTGTCAAACCTAGCACATATAGAGAGAGACTTGTCAAGCATGTAACATAAAGATGTGCACACAATAGGACTATGCAGATAAGTAATATAAACATAACTGTCAATGTTCAAGCGACCTTTAAATGCACGAACATTTTACAACATGAAGACAACTAAGACAACACACTACCTTGAACTCATCAATAGCATCTTGTGCAAATGCGATATCCACGTCCTTCTCCCTATAATCACATACCACTAAAAAATATAAGCATTCATTACTGCAATTAAAACGAAAGAAACACCACAACACCAAAGAGTCAAACACTATATCAGATAAAAGATCTAGAAATCTGCAAGGGTTAAGAAAAGCTAATTTAGAATGAATAGTGCAACATTTAACACCCTACACATGTATGAAATAGAGAGGCAAGGAAAAGGAGCAAATAAAGCAGTACTAAACAGAAAATTATTAACTTTAAGTCAAGCTTAACATACCATGTTGCTTCAGCATAAGACAATCCTTGCCACTTGACTAGATATTCGGGTCCCACATCACCTGAGCTATCTTGCCTGATCCGGTCTGCAATTATTCTCTCCACCTGAATACCAGTTATATAAACAATTGTAAGTAAAAACAGACAAATGTTGTTTTGGGAAAGTGAAACAAAAATGGTGAAATGCTGGAAAGCAAACCTGACTATTTTGCTTGATGAGATCTAAGTCCATTTCTTTGCTCACATCATGGACCTCAATCTAGCAGGCATATACATAACCCCAGAAAAAGAAAAGTGATAAATGAGCTACTTCACATGAATAAAAAACAATAACAATAGTTACTAAAGCTTCTATCATTATGGGAGGACAACGAAGGTGAAATAGCAATTACACATGGGAAAGAAACAGAACAAGTTTATAAAAGATCAAGAAGTATAAACTTTTAAACGACAGTATACACGAGCTTTCAATAAGAAAAGGAACAGTATACATGAAAAGACATTGAAAAAATAAATTTATCTCCAGTGTCTCACTCCTTATCTATTTCTCATATTCATGTTTTGAGCACCATCTCCTAAGAATAACATAGAAAATACCACATGGTAGGCCTGGCTTAACCTATGCTTCCTTTTCATACCAAAAATACTTCCATCAATAAAAATAATTTTTCAAACAAAAAAAAAGGAAAATTACAATACAGGGGACAAGTTGTTCAATAGTCAGAGTAAACTGCTCAACTACAACTGCAAAACTAAAACACCCTAATATTGCATGAATGAAAACGAGGAACTCCAATCACAGAATAAAGCCTGAAGGGAACTATTCTAAATGCTGAAGAAACGGACGCCCAACGCCCAAAAGCGAACTTATCCCACAAAAGATCCACTTCATCAACCTGTGCTCCCTCAAATGTCCTTCTATTCCTCTCCATGCATGCCACCCCAAAAGAATTTCTATTAGTGAATGTTAACCCATGCGTCTATAATTGGTATAAAAATTGAAGGGAGCGTTGATATATCACTGGATTCCAACAGTTTCAGTAACATGTGGTTTACGAGCGTATTCAGCCCTACATTTTCAGTAATATGTTCTTTTCAAGAGTATTTGGCCCTACTTTAAAACAGAGACAAAAAAGAAAAAATATCTATCAATCATGTTATTTGTTCTTGTTATGTTACCATCTTTATTATTAAACCGTGCTTCCAATCTACATCACTGATTACTCACACTATCATCTTCCTCAAGAAAATGTTCCCATTAACTTCCTTCGCTAAACAATCATCATCCATTTATGCACTTTAAAATTTATTGATCAATCTAATTAATTCTTTCTATTTATTATAATTTAATGATCAAATCAAATAATGCACCACGATTTGAAAGGCAATATTTATATAATTCACCTAGATGGACATCAAAAAAAAATTATTTAAGCTAACAAAATCTCAATAGGTAAAATGGTCTATACTTATACTGGCAACCCTAAAAAAAGAATAAAAATCAATTGGTAAGCTTCTTGTCCTCTTAAAAACAAATATGAGTAAGAAAAAAAATTAATTTTGATTAGTTTGGGTTGGTTTTGTTGGTGTGGGCAGATTTTGGAAACCCTCCTTTCACATATTCCGCATAACTGTACCTCATATCACATCTTGTTACCATGAGAAAGCATACATTAGATCTTAAGGCAACAAAAGTCGTATAAATCCAATGGCCGAACTTAAATACAGTTCAAGTTATTTATTAAATAACATATTAATATATCTATCTTTTTTCTTTATATACAATTACTACTAAAAGAAACTCTAAAATAAATATAAAAAAATAGGAACAAAAAGAATACCTCCTCACGTGAGATTGTCTTCCTGTACTTAGCATCCTCCATCACCTTTTTAGTGTAATTTAAAACCTTCTTGAAACCGCTAAGCTGCAAAGTCACAAAAGCAAAAGCATATTGAGCATCTTGAACAACAGATCAAAGTAAAGATAAAACTGAAAGGTAAAGTTACAGCAGCAGTTAAATTTGACAAAGACATATGTAATAGATTGTCCCAATCCAGAGCATATGCATAACCAAGAAGAAAAATTACAAAGCATACATTTTGTAGCTCGGAAATTGATTTCCACTGACAGTGCAAATGGGACTGGCCTTTCCATTTTATCAAGAATTCCATACTATTCCAATCTGGCTCAGAATCGAACAAGTGACTTAACAAGACAGGCTCTATTGATCTATTATTCCTCAGAGCTTCTTCAGCCATGCCTTTTGGCTGATGCCAGAGCACCTTTTCAATATAGTCACCATCCTCTTCTTCATTCTCCTCCTAAAATAGCAGAGTACAAAATTAAAAAGAGAAATTAAGCATATGAAATAACATAACAAAATTCTTAACATAATATCGATGAGTGGTAACCTGAAATTTAGCAGTCTGACAATTGGAAGTAAAGAAATAAACAGACATTCACAACATGGAGCATCAAATACAAAGAGTTTCCTGAGAGCATTACATTTTCTTTCCCCATTTGAAGCATTTCATTATGAAAACAACTGTCGCAGTTAAGAAAAACGACTCGCACACGCACTTTACTCAAGCGCTTACATATTAGAACTATCACCATTTATTACAAGGAGATCAAAGGATTTTCAAATTCTTAGAAAAGGGATGATTAAGCAAAAGCTTAAACACCAGTAAAGGGAGAATCCAGCTTAAATTTTTCAGCAAATTAAAAGCCTTTTTTCCTGACATGAAATGAAAACTTTAACCTAAAAGAGAAAAATGAGTCGCAAGAAGTCAGCAGCCTTGACTTAGCATGACAAGAATTGCATTGCATTCAAGTTTTACACTCCTATCTGGTCAATATGAATTATACCCATACTGTACTTTAGAAAACATAACCAAAGCAGCAGTTCATCTTATGCCCAAAACAAATTCTACAATCATTTGCATTTAGATCACATTATCTTTCGCATCTAGAGCTTTCGGCGGTACCTATGTCTAATAATAAAATATATCATAACATGACAAATCATTGTCATACAAACATGTACTTCTTCACTTGGGGCACATCTAGGGTAAGTTATCCATATGGTGCATAATTCCAACTTGAAAATCAAACATGTGAACTGAGAACGTGATCTCAAATAGATTCCATCGAAATGCATCAATGTAACATCAGAAAGGTAGATGATACCTTTTGGGACTTCTTTTTCTTCCCTTCATCAACTTCATCACTTCCTTCACTTTCAACATATGAAACCTTCCGAACAGATCTAGTAGAAGTCCGTACCTCACCATTTCGTCCAGTGACATTTTTTCGGCCATTACTTTTGTGGAGATGTACACCTTTTCTTTTTGTGCTTTTAAAGTCCTCATCACTTTCACTTTCAGATTCCTCCGCCGAGGACTCTTCATCATCAAAGGAAGACTTCCCTCTTCTTTGGCGACTAGATGCATGATATGATTTGCGTTCTCTTGTAGATTTAACACTAAGCCCACCTTTACCACGATGCCTACTCTTAGGTTTCTTTCCATAATAAGAATTATCTTCATCTGACACATCAAGCTCATCATCACTGTCATTATCTTCCTCAGAATTTTCACCACTCCAATCTTTATCCTGGTGTCATCAAAGAACAACTTTTTGAGAAGACATCAAAGAACAACTTCATTAGTGTACAACAGAAAGCACCAGTTCATATGTCCACTAACACTATTATATCAACAGAATATGCACCTCCCCCAACCCACCCTCCCCCACTCCCAAAAAAAAAAAAAAAACAGGGAGAAAGAGAACCAAGATAGGAAATCACTACATATCATCGAACACAAAAGACACACAGAGATGGAGAAATCGAAAAGTTCACATGAAAATAATTCAACAAACAGTACCATTGATATCTTTTTTTAATTTTTTCTTTCTTTTTTGATACCTTCTCTTTTGAAATAGTTTCAGTAGCAATTGCAAAGATATAGCTTTCAGGGTTAAACACGCATATAGGTGCACCATCAATGGTGCATGCATAATGGTTGGGATAAAACTATCCCATATCAGTTAAAAACAAAAACAACGAAGTTAAAAATTGGGAAAAGAAAATAGAACAATTCAAAGTTGGCTGTGACATAGTGGAACAGTCAGAACCCTTTGTGTGTGCTCTCTTCTGAAAACTTCAAGCCAATGAAATAATACTTCCAACGTAATTTTACTTAGGCAACTATGACTATAACCTTTTGCACTGCACGACCACTTGCAACACCATAATCAGGTTCAAAATCTGCATCATCAGGATCATCTTCTGCAAGCAAGAAGACAATATAAATTGAGATCTATGTTCCAACAATGAAGAGGGGTCAAGAACTACTCATCAAAGTACATCTCTAAGTAAAATGATGAGAGGTCAAGAACCACTCATCAAAGTATATCTCTCAGCAAAATGATGAGAGGTATATTAAATATGAAGGATCTGAATCCCATGCCCAACTGCTAGTATTCTAATAAAACAAAAATATTTGCAAAACAAATACCATCTTCATCTTCTTCTTCATAATCAGCATCAGCAGCATCAATATTTTCGTTGTCATCATCACCATCATCATAATCTTCATTATCATTTAAAACTCTAGAAGTCCTATGTGCATGGTTGCTGACTGCAGCAGGTTTTGATTGTGGCCTAGAATTCGACCCAACTGAATGATGAAACCCTCTATAGTGCATAGAGTCACTCTGTTCTTCCCCATCCTGCTCATAATATTCATCAGACAACATCTCATCTGCAGGGATGTCAGAATGTCCCCGTTGTCCCTTGCTTACTTTTGGCCTGTCATTGTCTTCAAAATCTATTCTATCTTCCCTGACATCCGAAGAATTATCTTCAGATCCAACAGCATTTCTGTAATCAGACCCACTTTTAGTTTCCTGCCCAGAGTCAGACCCGCCCTGTGAGCACATAGGTTGACAGTCCTTCCAAAAGGTAGAACCCCATTTTCCAGCCACCGCCGTTCTCCTCCCAGAAGACGGCAAATTAGAAGCTCTTGTAGCAATACCCTCGTCATTTTCTGCCTCATTCTGCAACCTACTAGCATCTTGTTCACCTTCACTTTGATACTGCACGTGCATGTTCATATCAAATTCCTTTTCACAAGAAATCACATCTACATCCTCATTCCCTGTGGAACTGTGAATTCTTTCAAGACTTTGTCCCCGGTTCTTTTCTTCCAGGACACTTCGTGAAACTGTTTCATTAGAATAATTCCTGAAAAAGGCCATCCCTTCACATGGAACTTCTATGGAATCGTTAAAACAATGTCTGCACCTGTAAATTTAGAAAAACAAAATTATCAACTACTGCTTCTGCTGCCACCTACGACTTTCGTAGAATATATGAGTAAAGGCTGGTCAAGTTATAGGTGGAACAAATTGTTACCACCAGTGCTCACTTAAAAACAAATAAATTACAGTGAAGTGTTGGCAAAAATAAATTAACATTCTAAATGCGACTCCAAGCATGCAAATTGAAAACGGGGAGGACATTTATTCAGAGAACAATAAAAGAAAATATTAGAAATCCCCACCAACCGAAGGCAACTAAAGAAAACCTAAGAAATGAACATCACAAACAGTTATTCACAAGAAAATAATAACTGTATTGGACTCAGACCCAACTTAACATCAGAATGGCCTCGTGGAATTAAGCTTACTAGTAAAATGATTAGTTCCCAACTCAAAATTCCGTTTTCCTTCTTTCCCACATATTCTCAGCAAACAGCGCCAGTCTTCCAGTTGAAATCCAAATACAGTTTTAACTTTAAAAACGTCCAGAACCAGTAGAAACTTCTGACTCAATGCATAGACAGCGAAAACTAAAGCATAGCCGAGCATATCAATACCAAACTTAGATAGTAAACAATTAAGTACCCAAACCACTGCAAATGAAGCCAGAAGTAACAGAAAATTCGCCAAAATCCAATCTAATAAAACAAAATTGATCAATGTCACAATACCAGTCATGTAATCACGCGAAACAGAGCAATCAACAGATCAAAGAGCGAATTTGAAAACTTGAACAGAATCAACCGCCAAAGCCCCTTCAAACTTCCAAAACAAACCCTAAAACAGAAAGCAAACCTAAATCCATGCCCGGAAACCCTAATTTCAAAACAATTTACATCGAAAGGAGCAAATCCAAACAGAGAAGCTGATGATTTAGAGAGCTGACGCAGAGAGGGGGAGAGAGAGAGAGACCCACCTCTGTAAGAACCCCTACTAAACAAGGTCAATACAGGTAGGGAGAGAAATAGAGGGTGCGCGCAGGTTAATAATCGTGCGCACCTTTTCCCACGTGGCCTCGCCGGAAAATGACCGCCGGGCCAAGGAAACCGGTTTATCGTTTCGGTTTTCCGGGTCAGGTTAAGGGTCGTGCGCGGTGGTGGGGATATGCGGCGATGGCGGCGGCTAAGATGCGCCGGGAGATGGCGTATCCGATTTCAGAAGACGGCGTTGTTTCGGGTTATCGTCGACGGCGACGGCGGTTGTGGTGGTGGTGAGTGTTTTTTTAGAGGGAGAAAGTTTATGAGAGAGAGATATTATCAAATTGGGGTAAAAAAAAATGAAAAATTAGAAGGATATGCGAATTTTGTTTTTTCGTTGGAGAAACGTGTTTATAGAGCCTTTCTCTCTCTAAACCATGTGTTGGTTTTTCATTTTTAACCTGGCCCATTTGTAGGTTTTATTGTGTTAATGACGGACCAATGGAGTTAGCCCACGTGGCACACACTGTTCAGGGGATTCTTTTTGTTTTTTGTGGGCGACGAATTAGACGGCGTGGGTTATATTGAGTTGCGGAGGTTCGCAGCTCCTTCTTAGCTTTCTTCTCATGCGTTTTCATAAGAGAAGAGTGACGATTGACTTATAACTCAACTAATTTGGATTCATATATATTGTAGAAGTTGAAGGGCTAAAGTGTAAAAATTTCTAAAAAGCTAATGTCTAAATTTTGGCATTTCTATTTGATTTTCAAGTTTGTTTGGTCCTATAGGACAAAATGAATGGAATGTATTCAAGTGATTATAATTACAAAGGGACATATTACATTGCCATCAACCAAAAAATTTAGAGATGTTTAGGGTTGTTTGGTATTTGATTTGAGTCCAATTTATAAACTCAAAAATAGATTTAAAGTTCAAAGTCTAAAACACTCGTTTGGTAGGTCCATTGTTAAAAATTCATACTCAAAACAAACTCAAAAAGACCCCTATTATTGAAAACAAAATAAATGAGTTTTTCTTGAATTTTTGTATCGCTTCACTGCTGGTTCGCTCAATCTCAAGCTCACTTCGTTGTTGGTTCCCTCGAGCTTGCTCAAGCTTCAAGCTTCCATGGCAGAAGCTTGAAGCTCTCTCTCTCCCTCTCTCTCTCTCTCTCTCTCTCTCTCTCTTTAGTTCAAACCTTTAAAGTTGGGGATTCTTCCAATATCAAAGGCCAGTTTGCTTTTTCTATTCCTTTTGTCTTTTGGTTTCTATAATTTTTTTGAATAGCTAGGTTGTTGGTAATGTGAGTTTCTGTTTAAATTTGATAATGAGTTTCTTTTGTCTAGTGGATAGAACCGTCTTGCTTCTGGATATCAAGGGCTTTCAAGGTTGAGAGGTACAAAGACAAAGAAATCTCTATTTTGCATTCTTGAATTAAACCAACTCTAGTTTGAAAGGGGAGACTCTAGTGTATCCAAAAATCTGGGCTAGGTTCATCTTCTTCTTGAATTAAACCACATCTAAATTGTTATAGTTTGTGTAATTTTAATATGTTATTGTTGACATTGATCGTGATGATGATGTTGAGGGTTGAGGAAGATAAATTGTAATGGAATATTTGTAGAGAATGAGAGTCCATAATCAAATTGTAAATTTCATGTATATCTCTCATTTTAATTTTGCTTTTAACTCATTTCCTATGTTCTGTTACTGAGAACATTTAGGGGAAGGGAAATTTTCTTTTTTCTACTAGGCTAATTGCGATTGATAGGAGTAAAAAAAAAATCAAGAATTTAAATCGGGGAGTCAAAAAGTCAACATGGGGGAGTGAATTGAATTGAATTCACTGGAATTATGGATCATAAATTTGCATGATACAGTCTGTCTACTCTTTTTATTTATCTTATTTGGAAATAGCAATTTTAAAGTGGGGCTTTGTTTATAGTTTCATGATTTAGTAATTAATGGGAGATTGGATTGGAGTCAACTTTAAAATAGGTTCAATGAGTATGCATGTGTTTCTAAATTTTAAAAATACATACTAAAAGCCATGCTCTTTGTATGAAAACCTTGTGGATATGCTCTTTTTCTCATGCTTACTAGCTTCAACGGCTTCATCGCTTGAGAAGTCTCCCTTTATTATTATTTTTTCTCCTGATATTCTTTGGAAAAAAAAATCTGCTTTTTGAGTTTTCTTGTTTTGATTGTCTCATGCTCAGAGACTCGAAGAATTATGTAATTATGCATTCAAATTCTGGCCATTTTCATTATATATTTGTGTAAGATAATGCTATTTTATCAGACTGTCAGACTATTAATGAGAACTGTTGATAAGGTGAAATCATGTTTCAATTTGCAGTCGTAATTGGCATTCTAAGAACCTAATAGTGGTTGGTAGCATAACGATAAAGAGAACATTAAATACATACATTGTGTGTGTTGCATGTCTATCGATGTAGCAAACTTGGACATGCATGATGAATCTATTGTTGATCTTCATCTTAATTGTAAGCCAAATTTTCAACTATTGTTTGAAGTCTCTTACTTGTTCTTCTCCATTGAGTCTTACACATTTGTTTAGATACTATGTTGTCTTTTTGGGTCATAGGTCGTGTTTTTTCTTAACACTTGTGATCATTTACGTGGCAGGTTTTGAATCTCGCATTCAAGCAACACCTTTGGTTGGTGATGCTTCTCATACTTTTTCTTCAACCCGAACAAACACCGGTGTCCAAAGAGGAGATTGAGGCCATTTTGGCATGAGGAACTTTCTTTTTTTCCTCAAGAATTTCTACACTGATGATTTGATTCATCAAATTTCCATACAATGAATTCTGCAACCTTAAATGCTTCCTTTGTTTTGTGATTTTAATCACTATTGAGGCTTAAAATATAATCAACTGTGTAAAAAGGATAATGCTTGCCTCTTGACTCACTATTGGTGCTGCATGCATTTATTAGTATGAAGTGGTGAAAGTGGCTAAAGTGACTAATGTTGTGAAAGTGGTGGTTTCATCAGTTTCACCAATAGTTAATAAAATTACGCTAAGTCAGCAGTCGTGAAGAAATTTCTCCTCACCATTTAAGAGACAAGTATTATTCACCTAAAAGCTAGTCTATGATGAATACCGGTTTTTTTTATTTGTGACTTATTAATGATATGGTCTAAGAGACAAATTTATTGTTTGTCTTTTCTTTAGCCTATAATGCTTATCTTTATTTACCATGTTTTTCTTATTCCTTGTTATATTTGTCTTTGTTATAGAGGATGGATTCAAATGAAGTTGACAACACTTATTCAAGTTCTGCAAGTGATTCATCATCTCATTCAAGTTCAGAAAGTGATTCATCATCTGATTTGGATGATTCACTTGGAGAGTTGCTTTTAATTATAAAATTAAATGAATATTACTCGCGTTTACATAAAGGCCCATGCATGACTTCACAACTCTCAAGTCACCTATTTGTGATAGAATTGTTGCATGGATATCCAAATAGGTTATTTGATTTTGCTAGAATGGATAAGAACACATTTACGAACTTGTGTTCGACATTAAGGGACTTGGATTTCTTATAAGATGATAGATCAATTTGTGTCGAGGAGTTAGTGTGCATGTTTTTGCATACTATTGGGCATACAACTCTTAATAAGATGATTGCAGAGAAATTTCAACATTTTAAAGAAACGATGTCTAGACAATTTAATAGAGTTCTCAAAGTAATATGTCGAGTTGGTACTCAAATAATTCAACCTCCAAATATGGATGCGACACCTCCTGAAATCATAGGGAATCCTAATTACCACCTGTGGTTTAAGGTAAATGTGATTAACTTAACTACTACTTTTTTTTTCTTGTTATATAGTTAAGTATTGACATGTCATGGTTTAATTGTCACTTGGTAGGATTGATGGAACACATATCAATGCATGGGCTCCTACATAAAAACAAGTTTCATATCGAGGAAGAAAATTTGAGGTGACACAAAATATTATGTGTACCTGTTCATTTGACATGTTGTTCACATATGTTTACACGAGATGGGAAGGAACAAGTAATGACTCAAGAGTATTGATGGATGCACTAAGTAGAGAAGAGAACATATCGCTTAAGAGTGTTGATGGATGCAATAGGTATGAAATTATTTAAATGAAATTATTTAAACATATCGACTTACAATATATATTTTTTATAATATATTTAAATGGAGTAAAATACTTATATTAACTGTCCTTAAATTGGAAAATATTATCTTGTTAATTCTGGTTATGCAAATATGTATGTGTTTCTCACACTATATCTTGGAGAGCGCTATCACTTGTGTGATTAGAGCATCTCCACCCACAAGGGCTAAGTCTAAGGCAAGGGGCTGCCCCACTCCCCGGGAGTAGTGTCACCCTTTGCTTTTTTGTTTTTCCACATTTTTCGAATAAAATTTTCAAATAAAATTTTTGGATAAAATTTTTCGAATAACATTTTTGGTTTTGCCTTGACTAATCTATTAAAAAAAAAGAAATTGGAAATGCAAGAAATATATATATATATAAAAACATTAAATTGAATAAAACGGATATTTTTTTTTTTTTACCTCGTTGCCAAGATTATGATGTGGAAAGTGAAAAATATTGGAAGGAGATGAGTTTTTATGAAGATTTGGTGTAGAAAGTGAATAAAATGGTTAGGTATTTATAGGGAAAAATAAAGAATTTTTTGGTATTTAAAAAAAAAAATTCAGAATTTTTCAGAATTTTTTCGAATTTTTTTCGAATTTTTTTGGAAAAAAAAAAAAAAATCTTTTTAACGTCGCGCGTGCGCTGACGTCAGCCAACTCGGGCTTCAGCCCGGGCAAGACTTGCCCTTGGGCTTGCTCGGGCTCGTGGGACCCGCCACCAAACTGGGCTACGGGCCCTGCGCTGGAGTGAACTCGGGCTGCGTCGGGCAGCCTTTCCCCCCTAGCCCGACCTGCGCTGGAGATGCTCTTATAGTGGGAGATGAGACATCCAAATGAGCAATGGAATTATTCAACTATAGGCATTCATCACTACATAACGTTGTTGAAAGATGTTCTGGATTGCTTAAGGCTCGCTTTCATATTTTGAAGTTAATGCCAAATTATCCAATCATCAAACAAAGACGTATTCCTGTTTATTGTTGTACCGTGCACAACTTCATTAGAATGAAATCGAGAAATGACATCATATTTCATCAACATTAACTGTAACACCCCTGACCCAATTTAATCGTTTTGTTCAATTTATGTAATTGTGAAATTACAATTTAATGAAAAATAGCTCAGTGTCTTTGTCTTTTTTTTTCAGGAGTTTCTGGGTGTTTTCCGGCGATTCCGATGGCTAAATCCATCGAGTGAGGTATGAAAATTCATCCTTTCATCATGATTTGCCTGCTTATGTAGTTAGTTTGGGTTAAT